TTCTTCTTCTTCTTGTTCTTCTTCTTGTTGTTGTTGTTGTCTCTCCTGTAGATAGGTCAATGTTGGACATGGTATTTTTTCATCCTGACGAAGACAAAGAGCCGCATCTCGAAATCGCAACCATATATTACTAAGTGAAAAATCCCATATTAAATCACGTAAGGTTTGTGTAAAACCGTGTCTCATCAAACCATACACCCAAGCATCATGTAAAGGATAAAAAATAAACTGATGAAAAACATTTCGTCCACGACTACGTGCATAAAGTCGTGAACGATGTTGAACCGCTTGGTAAGCTCGTATCATTCGTTTATAATATAATGCTTGGGAACTAGGATTTGCCTCTGGTTTTAAATGAGAAGTTGATCGTTCAAGACGTTCAAGCGTTTCACTAAGAACACGAAGATACAATCGTTTAGTATCATTTCCACTAAGAGAGATATATGGAACTTCATATATAAATTGTAATTCAGAAACGGTATCAACATAGTAACGAACAAAAACATCCTCTGGTCTATCTAAACGTATAAAGAGTGGAGCTGCCATCACAGCCCATACTGCAATGAAAAATAGAGTTACCACAATAAGTGTGGTTAAACGTGAACAACGGGCCATTGAACGTTGAAATTCTTCCAACGCCTCTTTACCAATTTGTCGTTCCTCAACAAGAGGTGCATTTACTATAGATACTGGAACATCAATTTGAACGCCATTATGTTGTGGTCTACAGATAGGAGAAACTTGAGGTTTTCTTCGTCGTGGTTTTTTTTCTTCTTTTAATATAGGTGAAAGATCTAAAGGGCCTAAAGTAGACTTGGAAGCTGAATGACGTGAAAGGGTTAATTGACTAGATCGTAAACTTTCCCTTGAAGAAAGTACTTCCTCTAAAGAACCTGCCCCATTAAGATAATCAATAGCACTACGTGTACTCAAGAAGCTCTGATCACTACTATTATGATGGTTAGGTTGATACATCTCACGATGATTTAACTGTTGCTGATGCGATCGATTTAAGTGTTCTGAGTGTGAAGAGGAAATGCTACTACGTGAATTAGATCCAGGAGGAGGTGTGGAGAGTGGCACTGTCACACTTCCACGGGGACTACTAGAATCAAACACACTATCACGAACCTGTGGAAATGCAAATGAAATTGAATCTCGCAAATGAGAAAATGCGTGAGTAACGGATCGTGCACTTCGTGGAGATACATAACCAATGGCATTATCATCCATGGCGTTTCTCGGTGGATTTACGGAGGGTGAAGGCCGCACTGACACTTCTGCATGTGTATGGATTATTCCCGTCCGTGGTGCTAGTGGTAAGGTGTTATCACGACCCTCTCTAAGATAAGCAAATCCACGTGATGATCTTTGCAAATCTAATAATGTTGTTTTTTCAATACTGTGATTTTCACGTTTCTGTTTTTGTCGTTGTCGTTTTTGTTGCTGTTGTTGTGGTTTCTCCTGTTCATCAGATTCCTCCAGAGTATCTTGTGAGCCTATTCGTCGTCGGGGTGCACATCTCATTGGACTAATACTCTGCTGCGATTTAGAGATTCTACTTCGTGTCCGTTTCATTTTTTGGGGGGAAACTGGGGAGGAAGTATGCCGGGGAAAGGGGGGAAAAGGCAGAAGAGAAATAATAATAATAATAATAATAATAATAATAATAAACGTGAAAGGGGTAAATATGTCTGTCTATGTGTATAATATTATATATATAAATATAATTTTACTATATATTATACTATATTATATATTATAATATTTGTATGTGTATGTTTATATCACGGAATTGCACACAGGACGTATGAGATGAGAAAAATATATTTGCCCCTCTACCAACAGCCGTGTTTTTTCTTTTTTTTTTCTCTAAGCTGTTGTTGTTGTTGTTGTTGTTGTTTTTCTCCACTTCCACAGAGTGATGAGTATAGCTGGAGATGATAATAACAACAACACAGAGAGAGAGAGAAACAAACACACACAGTTTATCGTCCTCTACACCTCTGCACCTTTACATAATCATATGAATAGAAATAAGCACAAAAAAAAAAGAAAAAGAAAGAAAGAAAGAAAGAAATAGCGTGGTCATGTATTTATAAACATATACATATGTATACATATATACGTAAGAGAATTCAACGAGCATATGTAAGTTTAGAAATATTTTTTTTATTCTATGATATCACAGAATTCTGTACAGATATATGTATGTAAATGTATATAAATGTATATACCACAAAATACACTCCATAAAAATGAGCATATCAAAGGGAAAACAAATAGAAGATTTGAAGGAAAATAATAATTAAAAAAAAAATTTCGGGTGCTGATATCATTTCGTACTGTTAATCTCTTTTTTTTTTCTTATTTTTTCGTTCTTTTCTTTTCTTTTCTTTTTTTCTGCCTTTTTCCTTAAATAAAGATACTCATTCATTCACTTACTCACAGACAGATACAGACATACCATTCTTTTAATCGCCTTAAATAATAATAATAATAATAATAATAATAATAATAATAATAATAATATAGATATAGATAGATATTATTTCTTAAAATACGTGAAGAAATGAAAATATCCATCCTTATCTTCACCATTCACCACTAACATTTGTGTGACGTTTTTTTATTGTCTGTTCATTCACGGCCCGTCTTTTATGATCTTTTGATTCTTTCATGCGATGAAATTCACGACGTGACTTTTTACTCATATGAGCTGCGGACTGCGAAAGATCTAATTTTAGTGGTGGAGGTTCACTTAACGCAAATCCCTTCGCTACGGCTGCTAAATCCAAATTATGAATATCAAACACATTCTTTAATTGTGAACTGCTGTAACTTAAAAGATAACCCTCATATGCCTGACGTGCCGAAGTTCGCAGATAATAATTCGCATTCACCAGTTGTTCTAACTGTTCACCCACCTTTTCCTTTACTTTACTTAAATCAAAAACATACTCATTTACAGAGATATGAGCATCATCGTATAAATACTTTAAAAATAATTTTTCTTGAGGTAATAAAAACATAAGAGCATTTCCACAACGTCCAGCACGTGCAGTTCGTCCTACACGATGAACATACTTTACAGGATCATCTGGAGGATCAAATTGTACAATCCAATCCACTTGTGGAATATCAAGTCCACGTGCTGCCACATCTGTTGTGAAAAGTACTCCACTAGGAGCATTACAAAATTGCATATACGTTGCAGAACGTTGATGTTGTTTTTGTTTTCCATGAAATGCCACACATGGAACATCAATATAATTAAATAATTCACAATGAAAACTAACAGCGTTTCGACTACTAAAGAAAACAATCATTTTTTTCTTAAGATTTCGTTTAACAAAATGATAAAGAACAAGTAATCGTTGTTCAGATGGACACATTACATATCCCTGTTCCAATGTATCCACTGTTGCCTTATCTTCTTTACGTTTCATAGAAATAAAGAGTGGTGGACGGTAAAAGGAAATACGTGCCAATTGCTCCACTCGAGTAGTTTGCGTTGCTGAAAAAAGAAACGTTTGTCGTTGTCTAGGAAGAAGTGAGACAATCTCACGCATATCTTCTTCAAATCCATTATCAAGCACACGATCTGCCTCATCCACAGCAAGAACCAATAAATTCTTTGTAAGCCAATCACTTGTCAGTTTAAGATGATCCAATAATCGACCAGGTGTTGCCATTACAATCATCATACCACTTACAAGTTTAAATGCCTCTTGATTACGACTTTGACCTCCAATACAGCAAAGAAATGTTATCGAACCATTAAAATGTTTAAGTAATTTCAGTAAAACACCTTCAATTTGTAAACATAATTCTCGTGTGGGTCCAATAATAACAGCAGCGGTGCCATTCTTTGGACGAAATCCCGCACGGGCAATAATCTCCACAACGGGAATGAGAAAGGCGAGAGTTTTGCCGGATCCCGTTTTGGCCTCCGCGAGTAAATCCCGGCCGCTGAGGGCTGCGGGAATACAACGGCCCTGAATGCCCGTCAACTCCTGAAATTTAAAATCGTTTTCAAGTGCCGTGACAACGTGTGGATTTAAGTTGAGTGCCTTGTAATCCGAGGCGAAAGGAACCTTTTCCCGTTGTTTAACTTTTTCATTACTCTTGGAACTCTTAGACTCACGCTTTGGTTCTTTTTCTTCTTCCTCTTCCCCTTCTTCTTCTTCTTCTTTTTCTTCTTTCACTGCAACTTCAGTGCGGGTCTTCTTATTTTGCCTTGACACTTTTTCATTCGCCTTGTGTGTTGTGGCTGTTGTTTCCACATCCTCACAATGATCTTCTGTTGTGTACGCCTCATCATCTCCATCCATCTGTGTGTGTTGGTGTTCGTTCTCTTCTTCTTCGGTTGTGTTTGTTCTTTTCTTTGGGCGATGATGCCGCAGACGTTTCTTTCTGGTAACCAGAGTCGCATCTCCCTCCTTCTCCTCAGACATTATCTCCGCAGAGTTTATGTGGCTAACTTGGCTGGCAAACAATATATATATATAAGAAAAGCAAACAAGGAAATAAAGAGATACAAAGTAAACAAAGGAAAAAAAGGAAGAAAAAAGAGGAAAGGGGAAAGATAACAACAACAAAAAAAAAAAAAAAAATGAAGAATAATAATAAAAAAAGAAGATATGTTGAAAGGTAATGAAGAATAAACTTAAAAAATAACAACAAAAATATGAAATACGGACTTCAAAAGGTTATAAATAAATATACAGCAACAATAATAACAAACAAAAAAAAACAGGTCATACACATCATAACTTCTGACATACTTATAAAATCATAATTTTCAAATAACCAAAACTCGATGTACAGACAAAATAAACGAGAAATTGTCTCTTTTTTTTTATTTCTTCAAAAGCAATTCAACCCTTTTTTCTTGATAAGCCTACAAAAGACGTAAATTCGGCTATATTCATTACTTTACCTAGAAAAGAAGAATTATCTCCTGACTCTTTTCCCTCAACAACAGGTAACATATCCCAATATAATGGAAGTTGCATCTCCTTCACTGCTAGTTTACCACGAATAAGAGGCCAAGGAGGAGGTGGTATATCTGATGTATCCATGTGTGAACGATCAGATGAAAAATAATCTAAATATAATCGACCAGGAATAACACGAAACCATTGTTGATACTCCTCACGTAATTGCATATATGGTCGAAAAGCTTTCATCACATATTCCTCTGCTAGAGATGGAAATGGCAAGATAGAATCATAATCAAATACTAATTTTCTCCCTGTAGTAGTGATAACAAGAACAAAAACGTGATAATCCCATACAAGAGGATTTTTTGTGTCAATATTATCATTTTCTTCATTTCTACCAAGACGTTGCATCCATACAGGTGTTTTTTTTTCCCTGTTACTCACAAAAACAGCAAAAACATCCTGATCAGATACTGTATAGTTTTCAAAAAGGATTTCAATGAGTTTATACGTATTTTCTTCACAATAGTGAGATGCATAGGGCACTGACTCTCGTGTGAGGAGAGATAATGATTTCTTTTTCTGCCCTTCACATTCAGAGCACTTCTCCATCTTTTTATTCTCTTCCATAGTCATAAGGGACCCGGAAGACTGCATTGCCCATCTCAAACTACTTTATTTAACAATAAAGAAAGAAAGAAAAAAAAGGAAAAAAAAAAAAAAAAACATATTATGAATCTACAGTATGAGTCATCATAAGTCTCTCCAAACAGAAAAGAAAAACACAGACAAAAAATTTTTTTATATATGAGCCTCATTTCTCATATTACACACACGCATAGACTCATACAAGTGTACATCAACAAGAAGACACTTTTTCAACAGAAAGAATAAGTATTAATCGATTATATGAAAACAAAGATATATATGTATATCTTACCTTCTTGCTCTTGAGGATGTTTCCCCCTTCCTTTTTTATTTTTTTTTTTGTTGTTTCTTTGTTTTCTCTCTTTTTTTTTTCTGTTATTTATTCGGTTTCATGTTTTTTTTTTTCGCCTTTTTTGCTTTGTCACTACGAGTTGAGTTGTTTACGCACTTCACGACGCTTGGCCCACAGAGACTTGTACTGTTCCTTCTTCGTCATTTTAAACACCGACTCGTGTTCGCGACGAAGCCGAAGTGTACCGAAATCTGCCGAAGCGTGTTTGGCATCATCATGTCCCATATCTTTATCACCTCTATCTCTTTTTGCCTTCTTTGCCGTCGTTAACTGTCGAGTTTCCTTTTCAAACTTCATCTCTTCTTCATTCTCCCGCATTTCCTTCACCGCCTCCTGTTCGGCATCCTCCACTCGCTGCAGTAAGACCGCCACGTCTCCTTCTTGTATGGGCCACTCCTCACACTTCACTCCCGTCGATGCCTCCACCTTCTGCAGCAGCACAATATCATATTGACTGATGATATTCACAGCCTTTCCTTGGGCCCCAGCACGGGCTGTACGTCCCACACGATGAATGTAATCTTCTACACGATCCGGAAGGGCAAAGTTCACCACTACATCTGTATGGGGAATATCTAAACCACGTTGAGCCACATCGGTACATACCAGAATACGTACTTTACCTTCTTTAAACTTTGTTAATGCAATATTACGATTGGTTTGATCCATTCGCCCCATAAGTGGTAAAGCCTGATGACCCAAAATACGAAGTGTAAGTGTAATACGATGTACCAATGCCGCACTACGACAGAAAATAAGAATATGATTCCCTGTTTCTCGTGTTAAATAAACGTGAAGATATGGTAACATTTGTGCAAAAGGAGCAAATACATAATATTGCTTTAAAGTATCAACAGTAGTATTCTTTCGATGAACTTCAAGAAGGACAGGATCATTTAATGAAGCTTTTTGTAAACGATCAATTTTAGTATTTAAAGTGGCAGAAAAAAGTAATGTCTGACGATTATGAGGTAAATGTTCAAGGATAGCATCAATTTCCTTTTCATAATCCATATCTAACATTTTATCAGCTTCATCTAAAACTAATGCATGAAGCTTTATAAGTTGAAATCCTTTTGTATTACTTAAATGATCCTTAATACGACCTGGTGTACCCACTACAACATGTGGTCTTTTACTTAACTCACAGGCTTGATCTACCATATCTGCTCCACCAACTAAGGTAGCTACTCGAAGTCCAACACTACTTCCTAACATAATAAATTGTGCCGTTACTTGTTGTGCTAACTCACGTGTGGGAACCATAACGAGAACGGAAAGGTATGGTACTTTAGATTGAGTTAATAACCAATTTACAAGAGGAAGTACATAAGCTCCAGTTTTACCACTACCTGTTTGTGCTACACCAATAATATCTCTTCCTTCTTTTAAAACAGGAATAGTTGCAGCTTGAATACGTGTTGGATGATGCCAACCTGCTTCATTACAGGCTTTAATTAGTTCTTCACATAAACCAAGAGATTTAAAGGTTGTATCCTTACTCTCCTCATTATCCAGTAACTCTGAGCCAATACTTTGATGTGGAGGAACAAATGACTGTGTTTCTTCTCTTTTTTCTTTTGTAGGTCTAACCTTTACAGCTCGTTCCTTGTTCTTCCCCATTCTATTAGTTTTTTTTTTCTTTTTTCTTCTTTTTTACTGCCGTTCTTATCGTTGCTGACGCCGGTCCACAGTACTGCAATAGCAATTCTAATAATAATAAGAAAGAAAAAGAAAAAAGAAAAGAAGAATGAAAAAAGAAAAAAAAGAAAAACGCTATTGACTTACACACCAAAAAAAAAGAAAAAAAAAAAACCTTTTCTTTTTCTCTTCTGTTTTTCTACGCCAGTCAACGATAAAACAGTTTCGTTTGTATTCCAACTACACCTTCAGCTCATGTCTTCTTCACCCTTCTCATGGCTGCTTCTGTTTACTGGATATATGTGATGAGAGGTTTGTAAATATCATCTTCCTCACTTCTTCTTCTTCTTTTTCCTTTTTTCTTCTCTCCTGTATTGTAATATTCACTCCATCCTTCCCTCTCTAATCAATGGAGTAAATAATTGCGTTTAACGTGTGTCGGTAATTTCACATCCAGTCTTGGATTTACAATTGGAATAGAACCGAGATCTTTCGTTGTTTTCCCTAATCGTCTTAATACATCTTCCAATGTACGTCTACCAGTACCCGCCGTACTTGGTGCTGGACGAGACTGTGCACGTTCCAACTGTTGCCGCATTTCATCTCCACGAAGTCCCATTCGTGGTTCATTTAAATGTTCTTTACTCCCTGCAAAGAAGTCTTTCCAATAAACATCATCATAATATCCCTTCTTTAAATGATCAGGAAGTCTATTATCCACTACACGATCAGGCATAAGAAGACCATCTTTTCCAGGTGGATGCATAGCCATCATACCTTTACGACGACGTATTTCCTCTAAATAAGGATAAATATTATAAATAAGAGAGTGTGGTACTTTTCCACGACTAGCGGCAATTTCACTCACACTACGAAGAGCCTTAACAGCTTCAAAAACGCCTTCTACAGTGTGAGTTGGAGCTTTAGGATTATTGGTTGCCTTTAAATTAATTCGACATCCCGCATGTTGAAAACCAAAAGCGCAAAGAATATCTGCAACTCGGAAATTAGCCACAATACGTTTAGCAGGATAAAGAAGAACTCGTACACCATCGGCATTAACTCGAACAGGATACATTGGTCCTTCTTGTTCCAAATCCACAGCAATAATATTAGAAAAGGCTTCTTTAATAGCTTCCTTCTTGGCTTCTTGAGTACTTGGTGCAACTGAACGTCCCCAACCAGCTATTCCTTTACCACTTCCAATATACAAAACACAATAAATCCACTGTCGATGATCTTTGGGACTAAATTTAACAACACGCATATCATACGCAACAATGTTTAACTGAAAATTACACAAAAATCTTCCACGATGTTCTTGTGGAATAAGATCAGGTGTTAACCATGTATTTGATCGCCATTGATTATATTCTGTATTTAATTTATGTTTCCATTGAAATCCTTCTGGGTAAAGGTCTGGTACAATTTTATACTCATTATATAAATCAATAGCGTTATCCATTCCCTTTAAACCCTTTGCATCTGCTGCGTGTGCAATCGCCTCTGCAGAGTCGCGAGTATCCCGAAAGTAAAGTGAAGTTCCTGTTTCTAAATCCACAAAGGGATTTCGCATCTTTTCAAAACGACGACGTGTAAAACTGCCAGGTCGCATCCATGCATAATAAATACGAGGAATACCACCACGCATGGTACCCTTGGCATACCATGAGTTGAGGTTTTTAAACGCAACGGCCGTTGATTGAAGCATCTTGAAGAAGAGATTGAATCCCAAACAGTTTTTTTTTTTTTTTTCTCTTCTCTCCTCTTCTCTTCCCCTTCTTTCCTTTATTAGTTGTGTATATACTAAAAATCACTCACACTCAAGCAAGCACAAACAACCCAGATGTGCTTTAATTTCTTCTTCAGAGAAGATCCCACGACACAATAATTCCCCTCTTCCCCTAAATGTCGGTTACCCCACACCCCTTAAAAACCCCCAATTACGCAAGTAAATAGAAATAAAAGTAAAGAGGAATGATACTTGTGTTAATACATAAAGAGGAATAGATATAATAATCACCATTACATAATAACAAATAATAATAATAATAATAATAATAATAATAATAATAATAATAATAAATAATAAGCATCATGCAGAAAAACCAATAAATATATATCCTTTTTTTTTTTGCATTCTTCAGACGAGAAAATAAAGTGCAACATAGCGAAAGGAAAAAAAAATGAGTAAAAAAAAAAAAAAGAGACATGTTTGTCCTCCTTATTCTTTCTTTCCTCTTTCTTCTCAACCCTTATACTTTCTTCTTTGTTTTCATTGTTCCTTTATTCATTTACCTTTTACTTCTTTAAACTACTTGACATTGTCATCTCAGTTTAATTTAAAGAAAACCGTGATCGAAAAGGGAAAGAAAGAAAAAAAATGAAAACAGAAGCAAGAAAGAAAAAAGGGTAAAGAAAGAAAGATAAAGAGAAAAAGTAATGTGGAAATAGAAAAAAAAAAAAGCAAAATACACACACACACACACACACACATAGTTATATATATATATAACTAATAGATTCAATTACTTGCCTTTGCCGTCATTTCCTCGGCTGTTTTAAAGAGATTCAGAGGTGTACTACCGTCCGTAACCAAATAACCTTCTAATCCCAAACTACTTAATAACTTTGCCTGCACTTCAGGACCTGCCTTGGCAATTTCAGCTATCGTATCTGCACCAATAGCATTCACAACTTCTGTAAACTTATCACTTTCAATCTTTGCAAGTTCCGACTGCAACGCATATGTTAAATTTTCTCGCTCAAGTTCATATTCATGTTGTACGATTCGCTTTTGTTGTTCCATCTCTGCTAATATATCACCCGTCACATTATTTTTCTCTGCTCGAATACGAGCGACATGTAAGTTTACATCCTGCTCTACTGCGGCTGCCTGAGCTGCGGCATCTGCAATTGATTTTAAACGACCAGAAGTTGTCATGGCCAAACTTTTTGCCTCCGCTTCTAATAAAACTTTTCGTTGAGTTTCATTTGCCACTTGATCTTCCATTTTTTGCATTTCAAGTAAACCAAATGATTGTTGTTCACGGGCCAAAGCAATTTGTTGGGCATTTGATTCTTGTGCTTGGGTAGAGACTTCAATAGCTATTTTAACAGATTTCTGTAAACCTTCACGTGTACGAGAATCCAGAACTTCCACTTGTTGGGTATCTACAGATACTACAACGAAATTATTCGCTTCAAATCGAAGTTCTTTCTTTACATTCCCCGTAAGAGGATCTACTCCAAATACGGCATGTTGTAATATCTTCGCATTATTTTTATGAAATTGCTGAAATGGCAAAGAAGCCACCGCCTCACGAACTCTACCGGCAATAAGAGAACAAGTATCCGCTACGAAATCCGTAACGTTAAAACATTTCTTTGCCCCTTCTTCATCTCCAGGCGTAACATCAAAATACCATGTATATGAGAGTTGTAAAGCCAGTTGTGCATGATCTCGAGTTTCAACATGTACAATATCAATCATATTAGAAGGACCAAGAAATACATGAAGTGCTTTAATACGTTGAGCTTCTTTTGGTAAACACTTATTTGGATTTTGTGGATCCCATGGAGAACCAGAGAGTGTAATAACGGTAAATTCCTCATCTGGTTCAAGAAGTACTCGATCAGGACCAAATATAATACGAGTTGTTAAGGCACGATAATTATATACTTGAGTAACACTTCTATGTGGTACTTGATACATGACGGTTTTGTGTGTTTTACCCACATAATTATGTTTATCAGGAATATTTTCATATAATGGGAAAATATTTGCTGTACAAGATAATAATTGTTGTGATAAACACATTTCTACATCTCGTGATAATTTCTTTTCCCATAATTCTTCCATAGCGTCTAACATATAAGCTATTGGTCCATTTACCGCCCTTACAAGACCAGTGGCTATATTACGAACATATATTCCCTCTCCATCATTTAATACAACACGTTCTCTTATTTCTTTTCCATCTTTATCTTTGCATATCATAACATAAGCATTTGGAATATAATCACGTGGTCCATGAAGTAACCAACATTCACCACCTTTACGATCTACAGGTGGATCTACATCTGTATCTTTAAAATCTTCTATTGCTTTTAATAATATGGCTTGTCCTGAATTAAGAAGATAATTATTACAAATTCCATCTCCTTTTAGTTTTTCATATCCTTTAAGATAGAATGAAGTATCTGTAACGAACCGACGACCTGGGGATTCTGTATTTACTACAATTGCAAATTGTCTTTTACTAATATGAAGTTTTTCTACTTTATTTTTAATTCTTTCATATGGATGAAGAAAAAATAAAGGACATTCTTCATGTGTTACTAAATATAATTCTCCAGGACGACGTAGTACACCCAATGCATGTGGTCTCTCATCTATAAATTGTGTATCCACCCTAACATGTAATCCCTCATCTGGTTTTAACTGAATAGGTGATACAACTGCTATTAGAGTTTCATGAGGATTACAGATATAAGAACCACGTAATGTTCGTAGATATCGATCATGTGATCTTCGTAATATCCCATTTTCATCTTTAAAAGATTCTACCGCACGTAAATGTAAGGCTTGATTTTCTGTAAGTGTCATAGCACGACGAATCTCTACTTCTTCTTCTTCCACACGTGGATAATATGTTCCAGGACCTTTAAAAAAATATTTTTCTTCTTCTTTATGTTGAACGCCTTCTTTAGATGTAAAATCCCGTACCGCACGTAATAAAAGTGCCTCATTTACACCAAGAACAGTTAATGGTTTTATAAACACAAGTTTCTCCTCTGGATATAATGGAAAGGCCGGTATCCCATACCGCATTTCCCGCTCTCCCACCCGCACCTTCACTTGACCAAAATTATCCTTCACCGCAGTTTCCCCATCCTCGGCTCGAACAAAGGGATTTTCAATACAGCAGTAATGCCCAGGTGAAACTACATGGAATGCGGTTACGGGCTTAGAGAGTTTTTCATCCGAGCCAAGTGTTCGTGTTTGCGGACCAATAATAAGTTCAGTGGCATTTGTGTTTTCATTCGTAATGTGCGCATACTCATATGGCTTCAGGCGCAGCAATATTTCACACGGTGCCTCTGCTGTCATTTGCGTTTAAAAAAAAAAAACAAAAAAAAAATGGAAAAATAAATAATAGAAAATAAGGGGATTTATACGAATAATATTAGTGAGAATATTCTGGAACAGACAAGTTCCCTTTTTCTCTCTCTCTCCCTCCTGTAATGGAGTGTAGTCCCTACACTAATAAATTTGTTCGTATTTAAAACAAATACGTTCTATGAAAATGTATATAAGAATAATCTTTATTCCCAAAGAATAAAAATACCTCAAATGAGGTATAAGACCGAGAAAAGAAAAGGAAGAAGAAGAAAAAGAACAATAATAAGCAACAGAGTGTTTCTATTTGTTTTTTTGTCTTTTTTTTTTCCTTACCAATATTCATGTATATATTTATAAATGTACCCTTTTCCTAAGAAGGAAGGGGAAAACAAGAAAAAAAGAACTCATCGTTGTTGTTGTTTTTTTTTTTTCAGTTTTTTTTTTTTTTTTTTTTTAAAAAAAAAAAAGAGCCACTCCTGTTGTACTCAATTCTTTGTTAACTCGAATCGGATATTAAATAGTTTTAGGAGTCGCACAGAAGCTCTCTTTACTTACACGTATGTTCACTACTCACATTCTCACCCCTTCTCTCCTTTTTATTCCCTTTTTTTTTCCTCTTTTCTTTTCTCTCCTCACACACACACACACACACACACACACACACACACACACACACACACACACACACATACAAAACAGAGACAAATAGCTACAGCTACCGTATCTCCAGAAAAAAAATAAAAAAGGGTTTCTCCTTCTCTCTCTCTCTCTCTCTCTTTCTTCATCATGTCATTTACTACTTCATCCCCCTTTTCTTAACCTAATTTTCATATTTTTCATCTTCTGCCATATCATTGCGGCCTCGCTTTGTGCCATTCTTCTTTCTCTTTACCGCCTCTGGCAATGGCGGTGGTGGTCGCAGCTCCCCTAATGACGGGTCGTAGGACTCCAACACTTCATATGGGCCAAGTGCATCCAACTGCTTTGTTACAATTGGTTCCTGTCCTTGTGTGTATTTGGAGAGTTTATGGAAATGACGACAGAACACCTCCGAGACGTGTCGCAGTGTGGGATGATAACTCTTTGTTAAGAGACTCAATTCCCATGTAAAGCTACTATCTGCATTAGAAGTAACTGTTTGCAAGGCCATAGGGTTATAGGCACCACGTCCACCAATAACATTATCGCTACCGCCAATAACAATACCGCCCACTGCAGGATAACGAAGAATAAGACGATGATTTAATGCGAGTAAAGCGAGAGCAATATGAGGAGGACAGGATGGAATTGCTTGTGTAATACGACGTACAATAGCCGTAACCCGTGAAATTGGTAAATGTTTCTGTGTCAATACCAACAAATCCACAGCACGTAATACCAATCCTACACGAAATGTCCATTCTCGTGAAGCGTTGGATTGAACAAAGTCTGCTTGTGCCATGGAGTTGGCAATAGAAAATGCCTGTGAAGAGAGAGAACCAGCTGAAGAGGAGGATCCTTGAGAAACGGCATCATCTTGATCATTAGAATCCTCTTTTTCCTCTGGGGCCTTTGCGGTATCACTCTTTGGAATATCAAGAGCATCAATTAAACAGCGAAAGAGTACTTCATGGAAGTAACTAAGATCCACACGCCAATCTCCCGCAGCTGCAGTGGCATCACGTTGTGCCAATGAGGCTACCGCAACAAGGGCGTGAAGTTTCGTAGTCACAGATGTAGTTTCATCATTTACAAGATCTTTTAATGCGGTGAGGAGTTGATGATAGAGTTCCACATTTACCAATGGTGCAAACTTTACAAGTCCCTCTAATGTGGGAGCAAGAATTTTGGTTTGGTGGTGTTGTGAGCATGACTTGGAGGCTTCCATAATACGTAAATAAATAACAAATACACGGTGTAGAATACGACCTTGTTTAACGGCAACTTCTGCACGATCTCTACGTGCTTTACTCTTTTGCATTTGTCGAGCTAATTCTTTATCTTCTTTTTTAAGACGTTTATTTTTAGCTTTTTCTTCCGTTAAATCACGACGATGGATATCTACTAGAGCCACTCGAATATGTAATAAAAGATTTAGTAATTTAGGATTCATAGCATAACTCTGTCTACGTACAATATTTAATATAGCTGATACGATAGACTCTGTGGCATCAGATACCATCTGACCATCAAGAAGTTCAGAAAGGGCTTTTAATGCTGGTTGAGCAACTCGTGTGGACTTTGCATTTGCAAAATCTACAGCCAATGAAAGGAGTTTATCCGCATGATTAAACTCAGAAGCGTGAGAAACTAATTGAGCACAAAGTCGACTTCCAAGCGCTTGTTGTTCTGGATGTGTTTTACGTTGAAGTCTTCGTAAGAGTTGTAGAAAGTGTTCATACTGTGCTAACACCTCATGTTCAAGTTTTTGCACTTGATAGACTTCCTTCTGTTTACGTCCCCCTTGAGCTCCATCTTCATCTTCCAATGTGGCTGAGATTTTATATCCAGGGATCACATCACACAAAATATTACACTCCTTAAAGAGATTTTCCACCAATTCACCATATTCTGTAACGGTCTTGTTGTGAAGAATATGGAGTTCCTTCAATTGACCCTGAAGGTAGGTCGTGTTCATTAAATAGCGTTGCATGTTTTTTTAAATTTTATTTTCTTCTTTAGGAGGGGGTGGGGTATCTGTTTATGATAAGTATATATATATATCTATATAGATATATAGATATATATATTCTTTTTTAGTTTTCTATACTCTCTTCGTTCTTTATTAATTCCCTTTCTTTTTCCCTTCTTGTGTTCTTGATGCTCCTCCCCTTGTGAGGTTTTTCTCCTGTCGCCTCTTGCCTTCTTCTCTCTCTCTCTCTCTGTTTAACTCCCTTCGTTCAGCCTAAATGAATCCAATATGATAAAAATATTATGCAAAGGCAATTAAAAGAAAAAATAAAAACATGTATAAAAAATCAAAGAGAAGAGAAGAGGTTGGAAACAAACAAAAAAAAAGGAAACTCTCTGAGAGTAATTCATACACCAAAGAAAAAAGGAAAAAAAAAACTATTTGGGTTTATTTTTTTTTTTTCTTTTTCTTCAAGTGAATGTGTTTTGTATCATATACAAACCAAAGCAAGAACAAAAAACAACGACAACAACTAATGCAGCACCAACTGTCAATACTGCTTCTCCGTTCGATTCGTAATCATATGGGATAAAATTAAAAAAAGAAAAAAAGAAAAAAAAGTGCAATTGGGATAGTGATAATACTATATATATATATTATATTATATATATAATATTTGGCTCTAATCACCATTCCCTTTTTGCATGTGCAAACTCTTCCTTTTATTAGCTTCAATACACTTGAAAACACTTTAAAAGAATTATCTTTTCATACCTTGACCAACATAATATATCAAATTAGATAGAGAAAATAATATTTTAGTTGGTCGTTAAGATCCCTCTTTTTCTTTATTTCTCTTTTTTTTTTCAAGTTTTCTTCTGAAATTGCATCTTCATCTTTTCTTTTCCTTTTTCTTTTTTTTTTTTCTTATTCCATCTATATATATATATATATATACCACTTCATATAATAATGAATGGATTAATAATTAAAATACTTTTCATTAAATCCCTGAAATGCGGGAATATGATTTTTAATAAGTCCAAATACAACTGCTACCACTGCAGTTCCCACAAAAGTGATAATAGAGTATTTAATAAGAGGTGCATCTCTATTAAAGCACTCCGCCTTAATAGTGGTAGTACGTTTGCAATTTCTACTCACACAAGTAGCCGCCTCAAGAACAGAAATAACTTTACACTCATGTAAAGCCTCCACACTACCTGGGAGGGGTTCATCACTTTCAATGCCTTCAAATAGTCGAGCTGTTTCCATACGAACTTCTTTACTGCGGATGTAATCATTACAGACAGCTGTACTGCACTGATCACAGGAACTCACCACCCACGTAATGTTTGGCATCGCACTACAACCACCTTGATAACAACAACGGCATGTGCAGACAATAGAAGAAGTTTCCACAGAACGTGATTGGGCTGCAGCTGGTAATATCATCCCATTACAGAAGCAAAGAAAAAAGAAAAACAAGAATAGAACGAGTAAACACAGAGGAAGTGATGCGGGGGTTCTCCCGTTCATGCCTGATTTTCCTCGTGATCTTTGGCTAACAAACATTCCTCTCAATAATGGAAGAATATCCCAAAAAAAAAAAAAAACCCTACTGTCAAAATAATAAGAAAAAAAAGGAAAAGAGTACAACTATAAATACACACAGAAACCCCAAATCATTACAGTAATGATATAGTCTACCAATGGAGACTTATTTATCCACACTCCAAATAATGAAAGGAATTGCAGAATACAGTAAAGTACCTGCCAAAGTTCAAAACAGATATAAAACATGTAAACACCACTTTCCAGTAGTGTCACATATAAATCTATATAAAAATAACAAGAAACAAAAAACTGTGTAGATGTGTGCGTCTATTTTTTTTTCCTCTTTTTTCATTCTGAATGAGACGAAGGGAATAATAATAAAAATAATAATAATGAGGAACAAAAGAAAAAGAAACGTGGAAGGGAGGAAGATTTAAAAAATACACAGGAGTGTATACCAATACAACCCACTACATATCCTTTTCCTCCTCCAGTTCATATTATTCTTTCTTTTACCTTTTTCTAACCTCCATACAAGTCTAATCATAACAACAACAACAAAAAAAAGGAATAAGAACAAGAACAGGAAAAAAAAATACAGCTGTAATCTAAAAAAGCTCCATTGAATAATGTGGATCTTCAGCATACTTTGGCATAGGAGCTGAGCTCACCTCTGCCCACCATACCGCACTGTTCTCTGTATTCCCACCATTACCATCACCACCACTTCCTCTAATCTTTCTTCGACCACTTGTGGATAAACGATTATCATTGGCGTTGTGTAGACCCATCACTTGACGTATTTCACGCACGGCGGTATCATTCTTCTGTTCCACAAAACACTGTGGAAGTACCACTTGTCCATATGGTGTGATTGGATTCAATGGAATACCACTACCACTACCATTACCTCCTTCTCCACTACTTCCACCATCCCCTCTGTTGGGAGTCATCATAGTTGACATGGCCTCCACTTGTCTTCGCATACCGTGTAGATCCTTCATCACAGATGTGGCATTTTGTTGAAGGAAGAACTGTGCGCCAGTTGCTATTCCTCCATGTGCAGGAGACTGTGGTACAGCTGGTCGTCTACCCTCTTCTCTCATTTGTTGTCGTTGTTGTTGCTGTTCTTCTTCTTCTTCAACACGTCGTTTTTTGCTATTACTGGATGATTGTGAGTCTACACTGATAGATGCTTGGATCTCACGTTGGGCTTGTCTATCTACGGTTTGAATCATATTAAGACGTGTAAATACAGTTTTACTTGAAGTCTGTACTTGTGCTGCATGTGGAACACTGTAATTATTTGGTCTTCTTTCTACCGTAACAGGAACAATAGTGGTGTGTGGTGGGGCCACTGTAGTGGAAACGGGATCATGATGGGGCATATGATAACGATTGGCATCATTTGCTGCATTCATTATCGCCTTCTCAGCATGTGTGGTATAAAGTTCCTTTTCAAATTGTTGTAACTCATGTAAAACAGATTTAGATCCCTGATGTGTAGATAAATACTCTAGTACAAGAGCAGAGGGAATAGCAACACCATCCACATGAGGATGAGAAGCTTGTAAGAGAGGAAGAGCCAATTTTTCTATAGGTTCTTCATCTCCTTCTATATAATCCATATCTGGTTCTCGCCAGGTAGTATCATCAAGAGATCTATCAGTTTCCTTACGATGATGATGATGATGATGATGATGATGATGATGATGTGATTTTTTCTCCTTTGATGCAAGTACATTAGCAGCAAATGCACTCACTTCTTTATATCTAGATGATTTCTCAGAGACACGGGAAGACTGTTCTTGTTTTTCTTTTTCCTCTGGACTTGTTTGAACACCCCGTGACTCAGATTCTATACGTACTTCTTCTCCATTTTTATTCTCAGTGTTATACATATTCTTGTTACCATGATGAACACTCCTTTTAAGAGGCAAAGGCGGTAGTTCACTGTGATGATGATGATTATTATTATTATCATGACTTTCTGTATCCCCAGTAACTCCATCATCTTCAACGGTGTGAAATGATACTTCTCGTGGTCGTCTTCCTCGATTTGAATTAACACTGCTGGCTGGTGATGTCATTGTACTTTGATCTTGTTTTGAAGAAACTGATGTTTTAGATGCATGTGTAATCATAAGAGACTCTGTGGATTCATTAGGATGTGATTTATTATGAGAATTATACTCATATTCTCCTTCTTCATATTGTCCTTGATGCATCATCATATCATTATCATTATCCTTATTCTTCTTCTCTGTTTGTATATAAGATTGATATGCTGTCACATCATTAGAGACAACAAGTGTTTCACCCGCATCAGCTTCTACGTAATCTTCAAATACACTATCATCACCTGGTTGTTGTAATGCATTTAAATCATACTTCTCCTTCTCACTACCAATACCACTAACATTAACATCTTCATAACCCCGTGTTGTTAACCCTGATGTATTATGTACACTTGCATCAATCTTATCAAAGATATCCTCATCAGCCTCATCATGTATATCTCCTGTTTCTTCACCTACCGTAGTACTACTATCACCAGTAGCCATTCGCACCACACGGCGAGCACGACGATGTAATCGACGCAGTAATGCATAAAAAGCCCCATTCTCTTTATGCACTAATGGTGCTAATCCCGCAATACGTGGAAGTTGTGTCTTTACCACACGTGCTGCTCGAGTAACAGCCTCTTCAAATTGTCGAGTATCTTGTGGTGTTTCTGCACACGACTCATTTCCCTCTGCTGATGTACTGTGTCGAGTTGCCACCACTGCCAATAATTCTGAACAAATATAAACAAGACAAACAAATCGCCCTGGTGGGTGTTGTGGTTGACTCACCCATTGTGAAATCATATGCAGTACAACTCGTGTGAGAGGTGGATTTCGCTTCATCGCCTCATACATCATAACAGCAAAGAGATGCCCAGTGACTTCCACACCGTTGTCTACAGTGACGGCCTCTGCAGGAGCGGCAATGCGAAAACGTTGCGACATACATTTAGCGAGAGCCGCCATGAATGCTGTTCGGGCAGGGGCGGAGGATTTCATTTGATGAACAAAGAAAGACCAGAAAGTACTGCTTGCCCCTACAGGAAGGGCATACTCAATAAGAGGTTCTAACCCCACAGGAACAAATCCAAAAGGGGAAAGTAATGTATCCACAATATTTGGAGCTTGAATATTAAAATCTTGAATAAGTTTACATACACAACAACCTACCAATTTACGCATTTCATCACTAAAACTATGTGAACGATCTATAATTTTTAGTAATAATTGTGCATTATCAGCAGTGGTATTACATGTAGGAGCACAATTAGGGTAATCCACACAGTAATTATTTGATGTAGGATCTGTAGGGAGAAGTTCCACATTTCCTTTCCCTTGACGTAATAATAAATTTGCCATATACCAAAGTGCTAACGCATCATGATTACTACGTAATCGTACCTCACAAAATACACGAAGAATACTCTCAAGATAGGATGGATCAATAGCATTCGCTAGTAATATAACTAGTTTTACATGTAACATTAATATATTTGCTTTTTGTTGACTTGTTACCAAACCAGTTGAAGACATTCGATCTGCATTCACTAATGTCATTAAAGTACTTCGAATATAAGGTTCTACAGCTACAAAAAGTGTATTACGATGTTGACCAGCGTGCGTAAGAATATGAAAAAGTAAGAAATGAACCGCACTATCCATTTGAGTATTAGGATCTCGAAGTAATTGAATAAGTTTCCTCTCAATAGCAGGCATACCAGCACACTCTGCAAGTGTTGTCACCACTCGAGCCACAGAGGCTTGTCCAGTCATATGCATAGTTCCATTTACACTACACAATAGAGAAGCCCCACGTCCCATTCCGCAGAAAATACACAACGCCGTAACATCATGTAAATGAGCCACAGCCGCATCCATCGCCTCATCCACATGTTGTTGATGTAATACCATTGCCAGTTCTGCACAGAGGAGTTGAGGATCCACGGCGGATTCATGAATATCATCAAAAGCTTCCATCGCGAGTTTACCAAGTGTTTCCACAGTTTTGGGAGGAACAGCAATAGAAAGGGCTTTTAACATATCTGTAGCACGTCTTGAGGCAGTAATAGAAGAATTACGTACAATTTCTCGAAGTAAAAATAATACATTATAAACACTTGGACGATTTCTTAAAACTTCTGCAACATCATCTGTAACTTCTCGTCCTGTCATTGCAAGTCCTGCTCCTCTCACAAGTGCAATAACAACTTTGGCAAACATAGCAACAGACATACGTGTATCTATAGCTAATGTAGCCATAAAATAAGCAGCATGGGGCATTTGACAATTAATAAGTTCTACTACTTCAACAGCTCCTTCTATTTCATCTTCAAAAGCATACTGCATAATAGCGCATAAACAAAGATAAAATGGATTTCCAGTACTCATTCCTGGAGTACATTGACGTAATAATTCACCACAAAGATGTTGTCGAGTTGCCGGAATTTGAACAAAGGATTGCATATCCGCATTACTTAAACTTGGGTAAAGAAATCGTTCTACATATTCTCGACGAATTGGAGAACGAAATCGTAGAAATAATTCACTACAATGAATAGATAATGCACGTCCATAACTTGGACCTCGTACAGGTTCTGGAACTGCTCGTTTAAGACGTTCATAACAAGCAAGAAGAAAATCAACATTCATCTTTCTTGGTTTTGTTTTTAAAACAAACTGCAAAGCCTTTACTTGTTCATCCATACGTACATTCCCAACAGTATGTACAAGAAGTGCAAGAGCTCGATTAGCCACAAGAGGTGATTGTGCATTACAGAGTGATTCTAATTTATCCTGCCATTGATAAAGAATATCCAAAGGCACCACACCAAGATCCACAAGAGAAGTTGCCAAATAGGCAAAAGCACGGTATTGTAATGGAGGTACAAGAGCCACACAATGAGCCCCACCAACACAAGTTGGAGATGGAAGTCCAAACACCGCATCCCGAAGTACACGAAGTACAAATGGATGTGTTAACTGTGCATTATCAGATATTTGAGCAAGAACTGCACTTATGAGTTGAACATATAATTGAACATCAATTTCACTTACACGTGCCATTTGTATATGAAATAGAAATGTGGCATAACTTAAAGAAACACAAAATGGTCGACCTTCAACATATGGTTCTTCCCGTGTATAGTAGGATGCCAGTGTGTAGAGAGTATTGGGTGAACTGATATTAAGTTTAAGTTGTCGTTGTACCTGTTCCACACACTGCGTAAAGAGACGTCTATCCTCTTCAGTTGCAGTCTCTAACTCTCCTGTTCCTCCTCCTCCTCTTCTTCGATGTTGTTGTTGTTGTTGATGATGAGACTGCACAACACTCCTTGCAGAATGGCTTACAGAAGTTGAAACAGAAGAACGATCATCATGGCGTCTCGACTGCGTTGACCTCTCTACACCAGCAAAGAGATTCAATGCCATTTTCACCACAAAAATCTATTATCCGTCTTTCTTTTCTCCCTCTCTTCCTCAATGTATATATATATATATATATATGTAGATGGTGAGAAAAAAAAATATATACACTGCAGAGAGGGTAGAGGATAATAGATAATAACGACGAAGAGGAATAAATTCAAAAAAAAAAAGTCTATTGATTTCTTTTTTCTTTTCACTTTACACTCTGTGAATCTTTGTGTGAGGTGTGAGGTAGAAAAACAAAAAAAAAAAAAAATCCCCTTGTGATATTGCGTCTAGTTTATCTAGCAAACCACTAAAGAAGAATAAAAGAAAAAAAAAAAACAAGAAGTGAAATATAAAAACAAAAAGTTACTACAAAAAAAACAATTTTGACCTTTTTTTTTTTTT